TATGCAGCAGCAGGAGTAGCCCTGTGCCCCCTGGATGAGCTACTCATGGCTCCATTCCCCTCCCAGCCCCACTCACTCCCTTCCTCATCTCAGGGGCCTTGCTCTGCTTCCCCCCGCCCCCACCAGACTTACCAGCTTTCCAGGCTGCTAGGCTGGCCGCACGCATGCTGTGGCTACTCACCTGCACATGGCGTTTACCAGCGACATTACTGGCTACATTAGTCAAAAAAAGCCGATTGCCAATAATGTCAGTTTTCCTTTTATTGGTTCCGATACAATATGGGCCAATGTATTGGTGCACCTCTACTTCTGATTATATCTGGTTGACTTTGCTCTGCCATGTGGAACAGCACAAATGAGTAGTGTGGAGCTTATATTTGTCATTGTCAGTATTTGCAAACTGGCCTTATTTAAAGGGGTGTCCTCCTAAACTGGACAAAAGAACAATTTTCCTGTAACAGAGTGTATGCTTTTTTTTTTTTTTAAACTGAGTTGCTTTAGTCTCATTTGAGAGGTCTGTGACTGTATTCTGCTCTTGATGTATCATTTACAGGCATCCGGTGGCATCATTTTTCCACTTGTTCTTCAGAGTCAGCGCAATAGTTGTTTATCTTCTCTGTGAACTGTTGACCAGCAGCTTTATTGCCTGCATGGTCACAATTATCTTGCTGTTATCATGTGATTTTTGGGCAGTGAAGGTAAGTCTACCATGTTGCTTTGCAATTCTTAAAAGGTGGAAACAGACTTAGTTAAATACTGTCTGGACATGCATGTGTGTGTTAAAAAGTAAGGTTAGCTCCTTTTTTCATTTTGCAGGAAGTGGTATTGTATTATCTGACAAGAACTTTAAAAGTAATGGAAAGCTCTTAAATCTCATGTTTTGTGTATCATTTAGTTTTGAGGTGCAGTTGGGGAAAATTTCTCTCAGACATAATATGATTTTTAAGCAGAAGTAAAGTGGCCTTCAAAATTGTAAGGAAAATTTTTTCATGGTTTTGCAATTATTTATTATTGCAATGAAGATGCTGGAAAATACAGATGTAGTCCTGACTGAGCCTGAACTAGATCTGCCAGCAATTTTACTTTACTTATTGTGAAAAGCAAATTCAGTAATAAAATAAGTTGCCCCAGTGCTCACTGGGAATTTGGCTTTCCACTGCATTTAACCCTTAGTGAAAACTCCTAGTTTTATTGCACACATTTGGCACAAGAAATCTCAGGCTTCTGGCAGAAGTTACATTTATGAATTGTAATATGCCACATGTGCAAGTAATTTATGGGCAGATAAAGTGGCAGACCAGCCACAGAGATGTTCCACGTTTAACCCCAAAACTCTGACACTGTAGTATTCATAGTTATAGTTGCTGTAGCAATTATAAATACGTTTTACAAGGTATGGGAAGAACTGATATGGTATATTTAGTTCAGTTTAGCTGTTTCATAGTGCATGGCACACTCTTGATTCATGCCCAAGGTCTTTTTTGGTGTATGATCTTTATGGTTAAATGTGGTACGTCGTTGT